ATAGACTGCATTTATATATCTCTTGTTATAGACCTCAGTGCAGGCAGATTGAGGCATTTAGCAGGTGGTATCATAATATATGCAGTAATAACTATTTACATGCAGTAGAAATGACTGGCATTGATAAACAGTTGCTCTCAGCTTATCTGTCTTTCTACCCTAAAAGAATGAACCTGGGACCTTATAAATACATTGCGTCTAATGCAGTTTGTTCTGGATGACTGACAAGATGGATATTATCTGTAGACTCCTAGCGTGACATCTGAAATCACACCTTCATTTAATTCCCAAGGAACCAAAGGGATGTTGTAGCGTGATGTGTTTTATCATTATGCAATTCAACCAGGTACCCTTATGAAGGTTTACATCTTGATACTTACAATGTAGAGAATGGAATTTTGTATGAAATATTGATTTAGGGTTCACTGTAGCAGTATAAAGACAAGTATGATTTTTTTTTTCTTGAAATAGAATCAATTCATTATTTTGTTTTCCAGTTGACTACAGTTTGAAAGCACTTTAGATCCATTGGAAAGTTGTGTTTCCTCTGTGCTTCAGGTTTTAGATCTTTTTTTGAAAACCCAAATGATTTTCTATTTGTCTTATGTTCTAGATTTGCATTGTTAAAGTGTGCACCAGTTAACATGTCCCTGCTCTTCATTTTGCTTTCATGTAATTTTGTTGCCTCAGCTTTCTTTGGGACTTCCCTTTGTTAAGCAGTTCTCCCCACAAATGAGTGTTCTTTTATTAACATACATATACTGGTGCTGATATTTTATTAATTTTGGGTTGACTTCATGTGTACTATTTGTAGCTGTTACTCACCTAAAGTTGTCACTGAAAATAAACTTTTGACAAGATTTCCAACAATATGATTTGCACAGTTCTTTGTCCCTTTCAACTACGTTTTGCCTAGCACTAGGACCACCTCTTGATGCTTTTATTTGATCTTTTTTCTCTAAAAGAAAATATCTTAAATTTTGGTCTGAGACTGAAAAATCAGTTTGCATGCATAAATACAGATTTTTATCTGTATGATAGGCACACAACAGGCAAAAATGATAGGCACATACACAGAACATCTAGTGGGTAGACTCCAAATCAGAATATTCAGGAATTTGTGTGGCTATAAAGCTCTGTTGGCTTTGTTGTGCCAATATCACTGTTGACCATTCATTTTTATTTGTCTAAATATGGAACAGAAAATGATCATTTTCACAGTTCTATTAATGTTCTCGCAGAGCATTTTATTGAAAGCAAAAACATAAACTGATGATAGAAAGGAGTCAACATTAAATTATATACAATGAGGCAGAATTTCAAAGAGGCTTTATTTCATGTGCACACAAGAAATCAGGTTATTGTTTGCTAGATTACTTCTTTGTGCATGGAGGAGAGACGCAGGAGATTCCCCCTTCCCCCACTATGTTGCATACATAGCAAAACTAAAGCAAGAGGATACAACAACATATTAACCTAGTCTGAAAAATCCTTTGTAAAAATTTACCAGTTTAGTCACAAAATTACTGTGATAAAGATGATAATGAGAAAAAAGCTATGTTGATTATACTCTTCCCTCCATAAAATTTAATGTTGCTGGGTGAATGAGGGATGAAATATGTAAAGCTGTCCTACCCAATGAAGAAGGGTGAAGGGCACATACCAAATAGATTCTTTTTCCAAACCCATGATATATATTGAAATAGAAGACATTAGTGTATGACGATTTAATGTGATGATTTAGGAGAAAGTGAACCTCATAATACAATTAATATAGAATGGGATTAGTCACAGCTGAGACAGCTCTGCCCTCCTTTCAGTTATTAGCCCCATCAGAGGGTTCAATTGCAGTCTGACCATCCAGAAGTGCTTTCTCCTCACCCAGATCCAGTATCCAGTACTCAGTTTCACAAGGGGCCTAAAGGAACGGATTGCTGTTTGAACTTCCAATTTAACCATTTCACGTCAGTGTTCCACTGCCCCTTCTGCTCCAGAGTAGACCACCCTGCAGTTCTTGAAGTTGCTGACACCAGAACTCGATCCCATTGATGGAGAATTATTAAGAATATGGGTTAGCTTTGATGTTTTACTCCTTGTATTTAGAATAGTAGGCAACCCTGAATTGATTTCAGGAAAACAAATGGTACATGATGTGTTTTGAACATTCCCACGAGATCTTTAGACTAAAAGAAAAACTTTTATCTTAAAAAAATAGTATTAAACTATTCTACCCCTAATTTACCATGCCAAAATTAGAATCCTCTCTTTAATGGCTATTAAATGAACTTCAAAATTCAATAGAATAATTATGTCAAGTCCTTCTTGACCATGCAAGATTTGGAATGACCATGTTTTCTCCTGTCTTGGCAGACTTACATTCAATGAAGAATGATCAGCTCTAACTTAAAATCGTAGGTGAAAGTTATGTTCTTTAATCATTGTAAATTCAGATGTAGTTTGGACTTTCTTATCTGGTAAAGAGATGCCATAGATAGTTGCCTCCTGATCTTTTCAAAACCTTTTCTATCCTGGATGAGGCCATACATTCCTGATTCTTTTAAGTAGTCTTCAGAATAGTATTCCAGGATATTGCCTGTTCATCCAGAATGATACACAGATTTGAGGATCTGTATTTAATTTTGTGGTGTTTTAACTTACTTCAGTTCATAAAATATTATAACTTCAGAATGGTTAACAAAAAAGTGGTGTTTAGTTACATCTCCTTTGACTTCTGTGTAGTTTCTATAGTGAACTGAATTGAGAGTAGCATTTCTGTAAGCTGTCACTAGTTCCAACCAGTACAGAACTTGCACTTTTCGTATATGAAACTAAGTTGATGTTCCAAACTCAAGGTTACTTTAGCTTTCACATCCACCAACTTTTTGAAGCACAATGATGAAAAGTCCCTTGAGCTGTGAGATGCAGATCATAATATTCTTGCATTTTTCATAGGATGAATTTCTAGGGAAAAACACATTAAACTATTTTCTCAACACTATACAAAGTACACTAATTTAAAAGAGTCTCAGATACAAGAAAGAAGTAAAAGTAAGAACTTTCCCCATCAGGTAACTTAAAGAAAATGCAGGTTTTCAGTGACTTACTTTTCAGTGACTTGCCATTTGTGCTTTATTCTGTTATTTCTTTCCATGTACACTGGGCCTTCATCTGTGAGGGAATGTAGTGAAATTAATAGAGTCACGATCTACAGTTTTATACCAGTAATTAATAGGCTTCTTTCAAAGGAACTTATTTAGGAAACAAACAAATGCAAAAATAAATAAAACCCTCTCTTTACAGCCTATTAAAAAGGAAGTACAAGTTCAAAGCAATACATTTTGAGATTCATCAAGAGAAAATATCAAGATTGTTTCACAAGCAAACATACAGATATTTACAGTATTTTAAGGGACTTCTTTTTCCCCTCAATAGATGCTGAACTGAAAGGGGAAGGGAGGGACCCTTGATTATGATGTTTTAAATTGTGTCATTTTCCAGGATTTGGAGCAGTGCTAAAGGTTTCAAATAAATCCTCTGCCTGATCAGAAAAAAGGGTGTATGTGGAAGAAAATGTATCAGAAACAAGAGACTATCTTTCAACAGGAAGCTTTCCTATCTCTCACTCCAGGCTGCTGTTATTAGAGGATTTTAATGTTACCAGATTAACAGCCACAAATGATCTCTTGAGCCTAAGATCCCTGATAAAAATTGGAATGCTGTCTATGTACAGAGATAAGAGTGTTCATTCTATTCTCTGTTATTCCAGAAGGGGCTCAGGCTCATAACTGAAATTTTTAATAGGGAGCATCTGCTGAGGATTTTCTCCCTCTCTCTCTTTTTTTTAATTACTAGACTTAAGGAAAACTTTGTGCTGCACTACATGCTGCTAGGAAGATCTAAGACCTCCTGCACAGAAGTGGCTGACAATGTACTGTTTTCATTCGAATGCAAATTTCTCTCTGGATGCGATTCAAGGAAAGTGCCCACCCCCACTACAGCTCCTCCCCTGCCCTCCTTTTCTTTTGTGCCGTGTAAATAAATAAGAAGCAACTGCCTTTCAGTCTGAAGACACAGCTGCAGGGGGCTCTTAAAAAAGAGAGAGAGAGATAGAGAGATAAACTGAAAGGAAAGGATGTGGAGCTGGGTTTTCACACACTATGAAGGGTGACATTTTCTACTCTTTTTCATGTGATGATAGCTTTGGTTCCTACTGCAGCATTTCTTGGTACTGGAAAGAAAGAATGCTTTGCAACTGGAAGAGTCTGATTTGAAAATTGATTCTTATTTTTATTGACTCTTTTTTTTTTTTTTTTTTTTTAATTTGCTTATTTCAAATAGAAAACTCTGTCTGGCAGCAGCAGCACATTCCGGGGGCTGTCTTCATCTAGTCTCTTCTCACAGGAAAGACATTAGCTGCTTTTCAATGAAGAAAGTTTTTCAATTAAAATGATCCTTTAAAGTGACTTGATTTTACTTTTTTTTTTTAAATGAGCTAACATAAGAAATGTCTCTGCAATGAAAGTTTGAACTGGTCATTTTAGATCTTCAATCTCAATGTTCTGATGGCGTAACTTTGAAATCTTTCATAGTATTTCAGCACAAAAAATTTGTGAATAATAATTTTGATATATAACCAGATACCAACTTGCAAGGTAAAGGGGAATTTTACTGTCTGGAATTTGCTTTGTAAACTGTTCCTTTTTTCTCTTTTCTTCCCCCCTCCCTTCCTTTAAAGGACAAAAATGTTTTAGCAGATTAAAGAATATTAGTAGCTTAATCCTAAAGGCATTTGCTTCAAACCTTATTAAGGTCTGAAAAGGGATATGGGTTTCTTTTTTCTTCCTTTTCTTAAAATCTTTTGTAGCACTGATTTTTTTTTTTTTATAGCAGAGGGGTTAAATTTTGTAAGTCTGGGTTAAAAGTATATTCAACTCCTTTCTTGCTTTTCTTCTTTCTCTGTGTCTCATTTATGATGGCTCTGTTTTCTTACCTCATGACAGGGCACAACTAGTCGAGCAACCCATTTAGCTGGATCTGAACCCTCTCAATCACATGCTGCCTCTCAGTCAAGAGAGTCCTTTGTGCCAAGCCATGGGAGCGCGTTCCATTTGCCTGATTCCCAGCATTCTTCGACACTTTATTACTCCAGCTCCACTCTGCCAGCCCAGAGAGTGAGCTCTCCACTGTCCATGCAGCAGGTGGGCTCTCCAACCAAGCTCCAGCGGGTGGGATCAGCATCGGAGAGCGCTGGATACAGCACCACACAGCGGGTTTCCTCTCCCAAGCAGTCTCCAAGCCGCCTAGCTAAGTCTTACAGCACCAGCTCGCCAATCAATATTGTTGTGTCTTCAGCTGGACTTTCTCCGTCCCCAATTCGTGTGACCTCTCCACCCACCATACAGTCTAATATTTCCTCCTCTCCTATACATCAGCTAAGCTCCACCATTGGCACTTATGCTACTCTGTCTCCTACAAAACGGCTGGTCCATACTTCAGATCAGTACAGCAAGCATTCCCAGGAACTGTATGCCACTGCTACCCTACAGAGACCTGGCTCCCTAGCAGGTAAATCAAGCCAATCTTTCCTCTTTAACGCTTTAAATGCTTTCTAAATGATTGTTATGGGCAGTCTGTTTCAGTGTAATAATGCTTATCAGTAGGATCCATTATTATTTGTACGTGAAGAGGGGAAAAGACTTACTCTGGGCATTTCTGACCTCTTAAAGATAGCATGCTTTAAACGGTTCTGCTACTATCAAGACACCCACGTAGTGTGTATGGCAATGAGATTCCAGGATTGTGTCAGTGGAAACTATTACTGAAAGAATATAAAACATTAAGGGAAGATTAAAGAATTTGGTGGGTCTGGTAGAAAACAACCTTAAGAGACTTGCAGCTTCAGTTAAATCAGTGATAAACTGTACATCAAAAAACCACTCCTCTTTGCTCCTATTGATTCATCTAATCTTTTAGATATTAGGTAAATCTTTTTGTTCGTAAAGTTAAAGAGCTTGTGGTATTAGACACTGAATTCCTGTTTCTTAATCAAAGTACATCTCTCTCCCCTTCCCCCAAAACACAGTTACATTCTTTCTCTACCTTTGTTTCAGCCACAATCCTTACCTAGGGGACAGCACCTCCCTTGAGCTGTGAGATGCTGAGTTTATCTGACAATGTCTGTACTGCTTCCTACAAGAGATTTCAAATATGCCAGATTGTACTGAATTATAGGGTATTGGCTGTGTGGCTCTTATGACTCTTTGGGGAACAAGTTGGAATTGCCAATTTCATTTCTCCATAAGCACAAACTTTGAGCCAGGACCTGGAATTGAAAGGCTAATGTTCCATCTTCTAAATCATCTAACTACTGAACTGAACATCTTTCAATGGTGAATTTTTGTCCTCTCTTGAAATCATTTGAGTTTCATTGCTATAGTAACAGCTGCTGCGCTCATATGTTCTCTTGTCTGACATAAATAGATAAATTTGAAGATAAATAGGGCACATAAAAGAACTTGCTGTATATCAGGCAGGTACCCAAGTGCCCTTTTGAAATTTAAAAGGAAAAAATCCCAAACAGGTGTCAGCATCATAACATGCAACTGTAGCGTTATGCCATCCAAAAATTTAGGGTAAATTAACTGACATGGCTGGTTCCTAGATGATGCCAGTACATGTATCTTCTTTTTTTTCCCCCCTAAAAAATTATTTGGAAAATCTCCTTCAAAACAAATTGAATCAAGTAAATCTGACTAATAGAAGTATCAACATTTAAAGCATTTAATTTCTAGATTTGGTTCATGTAAACGTAGTTATCACAAGGGCTAAATGAATAAGGTGCAAATGGAGAACTCCACAAGTTGACCACTGTGGCTATCAAATACTCTTTTTTTTTCCTTTTGCAAATAATGGAGCACTATGCCCAGCCATGGCATCACCCTTCCTCATGACTCAAGGAAGCATCTCCCCCAAAGGTCTAAAATGTTACCATGTAGAATATTTATTACAAGCATGTTAAAAAAATTCCAATTTTTCATAATTGAGTTTTGTTGTCTGTTATTGAGTGGGAAAACTGGTGTATGCCATTTAACATTAACAGTTCTTTCAGGCTTCTTTCATAGTCCAGCCCATATTCTGTGGGTGTCACTGTAAGGATTCCTCTGACTTTTTTTTACTGTCTGAAACCAATTTGCAGAGTGGTGATCTCTCCTGATCTCAGTTTCTATTCTCTCCTCTTACTCACTTCAGAGTTGGGATTTATGTTATATTGTCCATCCTTGAAAGATAAAGGCATTTTCTTTGGTCCAGTGATGCTGCCCTTTTTATTGGCCAGATAGTTTGCTGCAAAGAGTAATGAGACTTTTCCATTCCTCAGGGCCTGACTAATCCCATTCCCAGTAGTTTCAAAATGAGAGCTACTCATGACCCTCATTCTGATCTCAGAAACAAATTGTATCCCACTGTACTGTTAAGCCACTAGAAAGCATGTGCACACTCACGTGCGTGCTCTCTCTCTCTCTTATTAGGTGTTTGCTTTTTCCTGGCTTCAAAGCGTTAAAATTATAGTAGACTCATTTCTGTATTTTTAGTTTGTTTAAAAAATTAAAAATTGATTTCCTCCCTGATAATCGGTTTTGAAAACAGGCAAAATTTGGACTTCCCATCCTAATAGCAGCAGTCATAGAAAAAGGGGATTGCATCTTTATTATTATTATTTTCTTTGTTTCTTCATGATGCATCAAGACAATCTGAAAAATTTATTTTCCAAAACATGTGTTTCTGCTTATGAGTGGTGGGGTTTTTTACATTTGAAATTCAGGTCTTTTTAGAAGAAGAGGACAACTGTTTGGTCCCTGGAAAACAAGCTAAATGATGGTACTGCAGGAGACAGAAAGTTAAGCAGCGCTTTGCTTTCTTAATATTTATTTTATGCCAGGCACTAATTAATACTCAAAGTAAGGTGGAGTATTAAAGTGAAAGCACAGTTACCTTTGCAATTTTGCTGGTACACCTCTCAATGTACTAAGATGTCCCACAATTTTATCTAGCCAAATCAAATTTGCCATTCCTGTTTTGTTCTTGGTTTTTTAACTGTTCTGCTTCTTTTGGGCTTAGGTTGAGGAACTTTCTGGCTTGCTTTATAAAAGATAGGAAAACATAAACATTAATTTTAAAAATAGTTTGTGGATTATTTTAAAATGCTCAGCAGTGGCTTTTTAATGCTTTGAGTGTTATCCCTCTCATACCTTACGTACTGACAGCAGTCACAGGCTATGGCATCGCCACTAAGAGGAATATTGACACTAGCATGCTTACTTGCAGGTCCTTCTGGGCCTGCGTCTTGGTCTGTCATGTGCTTAGCCTCCCTTCTGGAGCAGTGTTTTCTGGATATTATTGACTCTGGACATATTGTTTGACTGAAGGAATTTGTGTGTTATTGTTAGACCTCAAAATGAGTCCTTACATAAGTTCTTCTCAGCCCTTTTGTGCTGAACAGGTGTTTTGTGGGTTTGATTTTGGAATATACTGTAGTGCTTTTGTTGTGTGTGTTCTTTAACAGGTTGTGATTGTAGCTGACAGTATACCTGCAAAAGGCTTTTTATCCCAAGTTTTCTGTGTATATTATGGCATAGGTGGAAAATTCCCCCTGTTCTCCTCCCTCCCCTCAACAAAAGACCCCTTTCTGTAAGTTGCTGAGCATCTTGAACTTCAGTGATGGTCTTTTGGGAGGTGGACGAACTCCTTATTTCACTCAGTATTTGTAGGAACAGGATCTTGCACTTGAACAGATTTGCAGGTTAAGCGTTGGGGGGTACTGACTCTAAGTGATCATTGTTCATTACAGAAAGGTGTATAGTTCCTTGAAATGTCAGGTGTTGTTTTGCGTAGGCTATTTGCTGGGTGGAAAGAAAACTACTCCATGAGTAGAACTTCATATTATATTCTGAAGAAAGTAGTTAGTAAGCACTTCAGAGCTGTAACAATTAAGTGTTATATTGATCAGAAAATCCAGTGAATTCCTGAGTTACTGTAGCAAGTGTGAATTTGCTGTTGAACCATGCCAGTGCCACATTCATCTCTTAGCAAATAACATTTTGTTATGGATACAGAGAGATGACTATTGCTGTACTTTAAATAAACTTCTGTTTGAGCAAAATCTAAGTGGAACCAATAACTTTATTATGCTTTATTTATAGTGATTGTCTGACTTTTTTTATAGGCATCAAGCATTGCTAGGACATGAGATCCAATCAGTCTGCTGTTTTATACTCTCCTACCTGTCACTTTTTATGTATATTTCCTAGCATATTATGGCCTTTACATAAGTTGATAATGTTAAGCAATTGCTTAAATTCTGTCAAATTCACCAGTCAGTAGATTTAAAGATAAGTATATATGAAAGACTTTACAGGATGGGGCACTGTGTATACTGCTCTAAGACAACTCCATTTCATTCCTTACAGGTTTTATGTTAAGTATTTTTAGATTATGAATTATTTCAACTTCATTTTTTCCTTTGAGTATTTTTCTTCTTTGAGGAATTATGTTATTCCTCCTTATGTGGGTTTTCCATTTTTTGCGTTTGAAATTGAAGAACCATTGGAGAATGAGAGCAGAAATATAAACGCTGCCTTTGAGTACATTTCACTTAACACTTTTGTTGTAATTCACTGTATCTTCATATTTATTGCTAGGCTAGAGAATACCTATCCTTCATCATACAGGTGCAAGTTGTCCAGTTTGCTTGATATGAAGTGCTGCTGCTTCTCTCATATACTTCATTTCCCCCTCTACACATCATTAATGTGCTGGAGCCATACAACTGCTTTATATGAAGTGCTGACTTGGAATCATAGAATCATGAAAAATTAGGTTTAGAAGGGACCTCAGGAGGTCAACTAGTCTAACCGCTGATGAAAGCAGGACCATACCCAACTGTATTATCCCACTGATCCCAGCCAAGATTTTGTCTACCTGGGTCTTAAAAATTTCCAAGGATAGAGATTCCACAGTCTCCCTGAGTAACCTGTTCCAGTTCTTTACTACCTTCCTAGTGAGAGAGTTTTTTTCCTGATATCGAACCTAAACTTCTCTCTCTGCAACTTGAGACCATTGCTCCTTGTCCTGTCATCTGCTGCCACTGAGAACAGTCTAGCTCCATCCTCCTTGAAACCACCTTTCAGGTAGTTGAAGGCTCCTATTAAGGCCGCCTTGGTCTTCTGTTCTCCAGACTAAATAAACCCAGTTCCTTCAGTCTCTCCCTCATGTGCTTCAGCCCCCTCACCATTTTTGTCACCCTCTGCTGGACTGTCTCCAATTTGTCCACATCCTTTCTGTAGCAGTGGGCTCAAAACTGGACACAGTACTCCAGATGTGACCTCACCAGTGCTGAATAGAGGGGAACGATCACTTCTCTCAATCTGCTAGCAGAGCTCCTACTAATGTAGCCCAGTATGCTGTTAGCCTTCTTTGCAACAAGGGCACATTTTTGGCTCATATTCAACTTGTTGTCCACTGTAAACCCCAGATCTGTTTCTGCAGAGCTGCTGTTTAGCCAGTGAGCC